GGTATGGTAAGGTTTGGCATGGTGTGGTGTGGTATGGTAAGGTTTGGTGTGGTGTGGTGTGGTATGGTAAGGTTTGGTGTGGTGTGGTGTGGTATGGTAAGGTTTGGCATGGTGTGTGGTATGGTAAGGTTTGGTGTGGTGTGGTATGGTAAGGTTTGGTGTGGTGTGGTGTGGTATGGTAAGGTTTGGTGTGGTATGGTAAGGTTTGGTGTGGTATGGTAAGGTTTGGTGTGGTAAGGTTTGGTGTGTGGTATGGTGTGGTGTGGTAAGGTGTGGTGTGGTGTGTCTGAAACATTGTCTCTCCCATCCATCAACTATATTTGTATGTGTAAAGTTTCTGGGAATGGGGGTTGGAACATGATTCCTTCCATCTACCAATTGTGTGTATTTACGTATGTATGTGTGGAATACCTAGAGCCTGCTTGCTGGAGCTTTGCTCTAACCATTCTATGTGTGAATATGTCTGTCTGTAAGTTTGTATACATGTATGTATATGTGTGTGTGTGTGCATGTATATTTGTGTGTATGAAGTTATTGAACTCTACCTTTTCTGTCATCTTGTGTGTGTGTGTGTGTGTGTGTACACATGTGAATTTTCTCTCTCTTTCCTCCTTTCTCACTGGCCCCAAGGAGTTAAAAGAGTTCATAGTTTTTCTGCTGGCCACAGAGAGTGCCAGCCCCAGTAAATACAGCTGTTCCCTCAGAACAAAAGTCTGCTGAACAGCTTCTCTAATCGCTGGCTGCTTTTGGCAACAGCCCCTGTAGATACCTGGATCTACCCCGTGAGTGGTTCTAAGCACTGACCCCCCAATAGCTGCCTGCCTCGGTTTACCCATTTCACAGATGTCAAAGCCAGAGTCATTGGCGATCGAGATCTGTCCCCTGGCTAAGAACATATTTTAAAGGTGGAAAAAAGAGAAAACTATATGCAGATGAGCTAACATCCAGCTGGTTGGGTCTAATCTGGTATTTATAAGGATGATTTGGACTCTGAATTCTTGGCCTGTTTTAAAGGTATACCTTATACCAAATCTTTCTTGTTTCCCCCAAAGAAATTTATTTCAGTCTTTAATTGCAAAAAATAAATGTTAAATCTGTCCTCCAGTACGTGCCCTTTAAGAAGTGCAGTGGTGGTCTTCATGGTTGTTGGCATGGGGCTATAGGACAGGCAGGTGATCTGGCTTGCTTTTATGAATATGCTGCTTTATTATGAAGACTTATTTATCAAAACTTTATTGTAAAAGCATATCCACTTGAGAAATCTGAGTGTGCATATTCTTTCTTTTCCTTGGTCCCTTTGGCTGATGAAGACCGCTAATACACGCGGCCGTGTGCTGTGTGACTGGCTGAAGGATTGTGTTCATATGAAGACCGCTAATACCTGCAGCCATGTGCTGTGTGACGGGCTGAAGGATTGTGTTCATATGCCAGAAGATAGCCTTTCTTCTCTTACTACAGAAACATAGAAGGCTACCCTTACTGAGAAGGGTATTTCCCGTATAATAGCTGTGTCTTACTTATAATTTATTTGATTTCTCTTTCAGTTTAATAATTAACTATAATATTCATTAACAAGAAGGACAAAACAGCTTCTAGCTTTGAACACATAATGCACCTATATTTTTAAGCTCTGAGATAATTTGAAACTAAACTTTAAATTCACAGTTAGGAAGGCCTTTAGTGCTGCAATGATTATTTGTGAGATTCATCCTAAGAAATGCTACTTTCTCTTCTCGAGTCTTTTGTGGTCCAGCCTGACATATGGGTTAAGCATTGTAAATGAAAACAGAATCCAGAAAGAAAGGCCCCATCCTTAGAGACATTTTGTTATCTGGAGAGGAAAATATGAAACGGATGTTTGCGGGCAGCAATCGAGCGAGCTGTAAAAGGGGTCAGTCACTTGTACCTTTTTGCTTTCAGGCTACGCACTGGACCCTTCGTTAGATAATCACCAAGTGTCTGCTAAATACATTGGCTCTGTGGAAGAGGCTGAGAAGAACCAAGGTAATGGCCTTGGGGGAGGTAATTACAGTGTCCTGCAGGCGTCAGTTGGGGGAAAACTAGCTTGTTTAGCTCCTGGATTTCAGGTTGAAGAAATGGAGTGATCTAGGCTAGAGCAGTAGAGTTTAGAACAGTCACTGTTTACAACTCACTGTGGCCACTCATCAGCCACACAGTCTGATCAGGAAGGCGGTGGTACTTACCTCTTTCGGTGATTCTGTGTACTTGACAGCACCCCAACCTCTACAGATCAGTCTGTTACAATTAATACATAGGTAAATTTCTTAACAGAGAAATTCTATACTATGTGCCTGTTGAAATAATTTTGACAAGTTGCTGTAATAGCAGATTTTCAGTGTCGTTTAAAGCATACTTATGTTCATATCCACTCAGGATCCTGAGACGAACCGTCATAGCCTAAATGCCACCTTTGTTCCAAGCTCATCAGAATATTTACTTATAAAATGCTACCAAAATAGAATGTAGTAATTGTACAAGGATAACCTTTATTATGAAACTATCTTACAAATATGCGTGAAGTGGTATTGAAATGGAATTTTAATTGCTTTGCTGTAACATAGAACCCAATGACCACTGCTTTGAGTTTATATAAATGGGCTTCTTTTCTTTCCATTACCCCTTTTTTCATTCTTAGCTTGTGGTTATAATGCTCAAATACTTCTTTGAATTTAATGGATGCAAACAGTATGCAGCCTTCGCCTAATGACGAAATCAAAATCAAAGCCATCATCCTTTGTCACTTCCTTTTAAAGCTGATGACACCGGAGGCCACGTTTAGATTGACATCCTATCAAAGTAATATCAGATTCTGTGAAACCCTGTTTGATTTGTATTGTTGTATACAAATGAAATAAGAATAAATTAGTAAGCATTTGCTGTAGTTTAATTCCATTTTTAAATGATAAACTAGTTTATTTTGTTTTTAGAGTTGCTGATATCTTACTGGGCATGGTAGTACATGCCAATCATCCCAGCTAAGGCTAGCCTAGGCTACATGAGACCGTATCTCTCAAAACAAAGCAAAAAGTCCACCAATACTGGTTTTTGATTCATTAAGCAAGCACCTGGACTGAACAGCTCCTCCTGTCCCCCACACCTCCCCAGCTTCTGTCTTTAAGAGGCCTAGACTAGCAAACTGGTGATACCTTACTTCCTGGGTCTCCTGACAAGCAGCAGCTGTTCTCCCCCTTCTTAAGCTAATAATAATAACTTTAATAATAATAAGTTTCTTTTTGTCAGCACACGTGGGTCTGTGTGACAGAGTCAGACCTTTGGGTTTGATTGGTTAGCCTTACTGTAACCATATAAAATCATACGTGCTAACATTTCTGAAGAGAATCGGCCTGCTCACTCCGTTTATGTTTGTTGTGAATGCAGGCTTAACTGTATTTGAAACTGGTCAGAAGAAAACAGAAAAGAGGAAAAAGTTCAAAGAAAATGATGCATCTAATATTGATGGTTTCTTGGGACCGTGGGCAAAATATGTGGATGAAAAAGATGTGGCCAAGCCTTCAGAAGTAAGCTTTGATGTTTTCCTTGTCAGTTCCAATGTGTGTGTCTCTACCAATCTTGTCTGGGTTGATAAATGTGAGAGTTCCCTTGAGAATCCATGACTCATCAGAATTTCTCAGCCTTGACTGACTGGGAAAATAAAATAAAATTTCTTTGCTTTTCTTTGCAATATTTGAATTTGCCCTTCTTTTCTATCATATTGTCTCCTATGCTCTTTTGACTTATGTAGAACATAGAACCATTTTTTTTTAGTATAATTGCCATTGCTAACACTCAGAGGTCCCACCTGCTGTCCTCCGATCCTTGACCTTGTCACTAGAGTCAGCCTTGCTCTCACACTGGGATTGGTAGTGACTTGACTTACTAATTTATTTTTAAAATCTTATGTTTTATCTATGTTATTTTTAAACAGATCTTTGTGAAGTTTATAAAAATACAGGATTTTTGCCTACCTGTAGCCCACTGTCTCTGAGAGCTAGCTAGGGCTGTTTCAGATTCTGAAGCACAGTGAGAGACAAGATCAAGACAATTTTGTCCTTATGACGATGGTATTCCAGCTGTTGCTACATCTGTTTAACTTTGTAGCATGTATATTCTGCTGTCTTCCTTTAGATAACATACCTGGACTTGTTTATTATAGATATGAATTTGCTGTTTCCCTGTCTTCCCTTCCCAGATCTCCCCAAAAAAGTTGGTCTCAAATCCATAATTGCTGTTTATTTGGTTGTCTTGACAATGTAAAAGCAACTCAACAAAAACAGGATTGTGCTCTAAACTCAATGTCCGCTGACACCAGACTTTCTGACGGCTTGTCATTTGCATGATTAGCACAACATGATACATTTATTTCTAGGCATTCCAGGAGTGTGTGTGGTGTGTGTGTGTGTGTGTGTGTGTGTGTGTGTGTGTGTGTGTGTTTTAAAATGTTGTCGAGCATGTGTTTAATATCATCTTGTGATCTGTATAAGAGGTGATCCGTCTCTGGTTGTGGCAGAGCTGCGATTGCTGTCCTAGGAGACATGTGTGTGAACCTCAGTATAAAGGGTGTCCGCCTGCAGTGGGCATGATGAGATTTCAGGCGCTCATTTTAAAGTTCACTGCTTTGTTTTCTTAGGAAGAACAAAAGGAATTAGATGAAATCACAGCAAAGAGGCAGAAAAAAGGCAAACAGGAAGAAGAGAAACCCGGGGAGGAGAAGACAATCTTACATGGTAGTACGGTTTTCAATCATCTTTATTTTCATGAAAATCTGTTGTGTTTTCCTCACTCCATATTATACCAGTTGCTCATCCTGTTGGCTGCTGTTATGTAAGTGTTGTATTACGAACACTTTGCATCCTAAAGAAATCAGCATAGACCTTTTATACTACTAAAATGGAAAATGTAGCATAATTAATGATGAGCCCAGAAATGTTTGTTTTTAAGTATCAGTGGAATTTTAAAAACTTGAAGAAACTCGAATAGTCCATAAGTTACTTCCTTAAATAAAGTAGATTCCTTACGTGTGTCAGTTACTTAACTTCATTTTTAATCCAAGCCAAATGCTTGTGGGTCGTCATCGAGTACGCTCACTTTTAAAGGAAGGCCTGTTTCCGTATGACTAGATTAGCATTACTAGGCTTACTAACGAGCTGTAATGTGCACGTTCAGTGAGAACTGTTACAGTTAGGAAGTTCTGTGCTGATGACCAGAGGCTCAGACAATGAATGGCTCGGTACTGGCATGGAGCTTTGTCACTTCAAGTCCTGAGGCTTCAGGAGACCAAGTGGTTTCACAAACTTCAGTTTTATTTCCAAGGCATCTGGTTAGTGCTGTGGTGCTTAAAGCTGTAGGCTCCGTAAGCAGAGACTGACAAAGATGAAAATGAATTTCCATAGGAATGAAATCAACGAACGTTCTTATTGGTTTTTACATAAGAACTAAGTCTTGGTTGAGTAGTTGATCCTGTGGGAGGTAGAAAACATTTTAGTGTTTTTCAAACTTGATCAATATTTTGATTTTACGGTCATCACTTCTGAGAACACGATTTTGCATGAATACATAGTACAAAATGGTAGACAAATATTTCGGACCATTTGAGAAGTTGTTGGAAAAATCTGTCCGAATTCCAAGACAGAACTCATTTAGTGATTTTTGGTGAAGCTCAAACCAACCACTCAAATAGCAGCTTTTTAAACCAAGCACACACAGTCCAAAGGTATACTGCTCAGATGTGTACACGCTAAGGAATGTGGTAGGAAAATTGAAAGTCTTTGTTTTCCTAAATGAAACCATTATGTGTCCAGAACAACACAAAGCTTTGTACAGCAGGAGCACCGCAATGTGCAGCATATGACGGTAGTCTAAAACCTGAGCAGAGGCTTCTGTGAGCAGAAGTTACAGGAGTGACAGCATGCTGTGCCACCCGGTAACGTCTCCAGTAAACGTTTGCCGGGCAAACAAGAAAGGCAGACAGCTGTGAAGGAGCCGATGGGGAGAGTGGGAAGGTGGAGAAAGGAGTGCTGACACTTGGCTTCGTGAATTCTGTAGCGGGGACTCAGGAGACCTGAGTGTTATCTTCTCTCCCCTCGTAATTGTATTCCAGTAGAGGCTTTGTCACCAAAGCCTGTGGCCGACTGAGAGAACCATAGATCGCATTTAGGGTCTCTTACCTCTTGGATATTAGAAATTCTAAACTACAATCTTTCAGTGTAGTGATAGAAAAAGAACTCCGAGGGCCTGATTTTAGCCCACTCATGGTGCTGACATTTAACCCGTCAGCGTGTTATCACCTGAGTCTCAGCATGGACAGTAGAGCCGAGAACTGTTACTGTTTTAAGAATACAGATTTAATGACTCTGGTTTATGTTTATTTATGGCTTTCTTTCAACGTTTTGTTGTAGTTAAAGAAATGTATGACTACCAGGGCAGGTCTTACCTCCACATACCTCAGGATGTCGGTGTTAATCTGCGGTCATCTGTTCCACCTGAAAAGTGTTACCTTCCCAAAAAACAAATTCACGTGTGGTCTGGACACACAAAGGTAAGGCAGTTGAATGTTGTCATTGCACAACCCAAAGAGAAGCCAATGCAGAGCTTAGCCGCTGACACAGGGCAGGCAGGCAGAGTAGGAACACCAGAGTCAAGGCAACTGTGAGACGGGCTTTGGAGGGTTCAGTCCTCGAGGCCATGCAGATTGGCCGTGACGTAAGCTTTGTGGGTCAGTGTCCACCCCTACAGCGTCACTTGTCCCTTTCCCACCAGTCCCTGCTGCCACCTGCTTCCTCTCGGCACCACACAGTGAACAATGGGCAGATGATGCCAAGCCTGCTGCTTGGCCTCGGTAACGTTGTTTGGTTCCTGGGTTACTACATGTCAGAGAGTAGATGTTCCTTGCTGTCTAATCCAAGGTAAAGTTTAAATAGTGCACATGAGGTATTAGCAAACGTAAGAGGCTGATATTTTTTGTCATCTGCACTGTTGCGGCTGTTAATTTCCAGATGTTTGCCAAGAGCAGGGGACTACAGAAAGGGAAAGAAATGGGGCATAGAGGCAGCATTTGTCCAGCTCAGTGTGAGAAAGTGAGGGTAAGAGGCCTTCAGCCTAGTGTCGAGTAAGGCCTCTGAGAACGCCGATGAAGGCTAGTCTAGAACATGACGGGCGGAATAAAGAAAAATAGCAGACAGTCTCTTGTGCTTCTGAGTGAGAATGTACTGCCTTTTTCTAGGGTGTCAGTGCCGTCAGGCTCTTTCCTCTTTCTGGACATTTGTTGCTGTCTTGCTCCATGGACTGTAAAATTAAGGTGAGTTTTCATTCACCTGCAAATGCTGCACAGCCAGTGCTTTGGTTAAGTCTGTTTGATTAATCATAAATAAATTTCTGGTTGTTAGGCAATTAGAGGCTAATTATTTTCTATTAAGCCCTATGGATGTAGCTATTTATGGACTGTTTCCAAACTTGTAGACTCAGACATGGCTCTGTGGTCCAGGCTGGACTCTTCTTAAAGCTCAGACAACTGACTAGGATGTAATGCAATCACTTTGGCATTGGGCACATAAATATTGAATCAGGAATAATGCATTTTTTATGGAGGTTGTGGATATGTAACTGAGTCTGTTCCTCACACTGGCTGGGGAAGAAGACACATGATGGAAACCCCACATCTAGAGAGTAGACAGTGTCACTTTTTTTATCCTTCCCTTTTGAACACTGGGACACAAACCAGCAGTGCCCTCAGCCATCTCTGCTCTCGGTGCTCAAGCAAGCACCATCTGAACCTTCCTCCCAGCTGGAGTGAGGCGGGGAAGGGAGCTGTCCCTCTTGTCACCTCCATATGAACAGAGCATCTTTGAAACCTCCGGTTTTAAGGAATAGTTGGTGTCTTTGTGTCTCTTTGGCGTCCAGATCATGGTGACAGCTCAATAAATGCCAACCCTATAGAACTCTGGTGGCTCGGAGGTCAGATTGTTAAGGCCTTGTCCTTTTTAAATATTGATGAGTGCTATCAATATATAAAGCCACTGCTGTTAATGGAGCAGCCATTCAGGCATTTGTGATAGAAACAGTTTGTCTCTGATTAAAACGGTTTCTCAGAAAATCTCTAAGAGGGATTATAATATCAAAGGTTTGAAATCAGGGCTGTTCCTGGGAGTGGTCGTTGCATCTTGATGCTGGGGAGAGTGAAGAGATCCAGGCGGCCAAATGTGTGCTGCAACTACTGCAGCTTAGTGGTTGTCACAGCACACACCGTAACAGGGAATCCAGTCCCAAGCAGGGAGCAGGTCCCAGAGGGTCTTGCCTGTCGTGGGCAGGACCTGAGGCGTCTGTCTGGTGAGCATCAGGTGCTCAGAAATGCTTTGTCTGAGAGCGGGAGCAGCAACGCGAGCAGCGCCGCAAGCAGCGCGTTGGGATGAATGTGAAGGAGTCAAGCGTCCCATGGCTTTGAAACCTTTGTAGTCACCTGCTTTAGAGATGATTAGAATTGTGAGCCACAGATACTAGCTTCATAGAGATTCTATACATATTACCCAGAAAATATTTTTAAAGACACTTTTCAGTATTAAAGTGGTACATAACAGCAGTCCTAGTAGCGTTTAATTCCTTTAAAATATAGTTTGTTACAAAAGTAAAAACTGTTTCTCATAGAAAAATACATAAACTACAGGGAAAAAAACAGTAAGAAGATGAAAGTCCCCAGATAAACTGCATGTGCAGCCAAATCCTCTTGATGCTTTGACATGAAACCCTCCTCAAGTGTAAAGAATGCTTGTACATGTGTCTGAGCTGTAGAACACAGACTGGCAAACGAGGCAATCTTCAGTAATTAAATCCACTGCACCCACAAAGATGTGTACACACACGTAGCTAGCAAATGACTATCGTTGGTGATAAAAGCTTGTGTTGAGCTTGCTATCCCGGGGCTAGAGCTTTGATCAGTGGCAGAGTACATTCTTAGTATACATGAGGTCCAGTTTCTAACGCCGTAAAGAAAACATTAATATTTTCATGTGTTTTTTATTTTCTCCAGCTATGGGAAGTTTATGGAGACCGGCGCTGTCTGAGAACATTTATTGGTAATATTTCCTTTTCTTGCTGCCTATAAATCTGTTTAGGAATGCTTTTTACAAGAAAGATAGCATCATCAGCAGTAATTTTACTGCCCTGATAGGAAGGGAAGTATGCCCAGGCTGAGCTGAGCCGTGAAGAAGTAAATCTCTCTAGGTAGGCAAGGAGGCCAAGGAAGGGAGAGTGGCAGAGGCTGAGAATGTGCCCCACTGCTGCCTTAGGGGCTGAGTACAGTAAGGACCTGCCAGGGTATAGGAGAGGGACAGTGTGGATCACAATAGAAGGGGGCCAGAGTGCGGAGAGCCGGCGTGCCGCTAATGAAAGGCTGCGTCCTGTGATGGCACTGAAGAGCCATTTAATAGCCCTTACTAGAAAGTAATGAGATTGGAAGACGACAAAGATTATGTGGCAGTCTGGAGGACACTCTCTGATAGGCAAGCCTAGAACAACACCATTCTTTTATTACTCTCAGCTAAAATGGTGAGAAGAGAAAATGTAGTGAGAGCGATTCCGTAACAGGATGTGAGTGATACAGGGCAGAGACCCTCCGTGACTCCCTCCCGGGCAGGCGGCTGATGAAGACTTGTGTGCTTTAGCAAGGGTGGGGACGGAAGGTTGGACTTGTTGACTCTGAGCAGCTACTCAAGCTGTCCGGTAAGCCGTAGCCATAGACGGAGCTTTCAAACACGGTCAGGAGCCAGCAGCTGAAGCCTAAGAAACGTGACTGAGAAAGCTCCGGGAGATAAGACGTGGACCAGGGCAGGCTGTGTGCCGAGTGGCCTTTCTGACAAGGACACCTCTGTCCTTGTCGCTTCTTGTTACCTTTTCCAAATTTAAGTGTACCAAATTGAAGGGCTGCGGATCACAGTGGGTCTGTTTTTAGATTAAAGTAGGAGTCTGTTCCCCCATGCTGTGCTCTCCATGTGTGGTACTCTGCAAATAGATCCAAGATACCACACCAGCACACAGGACTTCTAGGGAAACCGTTAACTGTCTCCAGGGGCATAAAATGTCCCTCAGACACGGTGGATTTGTTCTCCATCAGCCTCACCTGGACCGCCAGAACATTCTTCAGGGGGAATCTAGAATTCTCTACATATAGCTGCTCTGTGGAGGGACTCCTGGTTGCCATGCTTGTTGCCATGGCGTCTGCTGCGTGGCACCTGCCTGACAGGAGTTCTGTGCTGGGGGTGGTTCTGGGAGACAGCCCATGGTTGACAATTGGAGCTGTGTACATTTTGTGAAATTATCTGTGTCCTAGTTCTAGTGAGAAGATGGGATGTCTGCTTTGGTTTAGCTGCAGTTTAGTTTCCTCAGAACTGTGAGAACATGAGTTGGTCTGGCAGGTTGTTGTACTGACTTCTAAATACAGTGTGTGTAATCAGTGCCCTGAAATTAATTTAGTTTCAGAATAACATCTTTTAGAAAATACAGCTAACACTGTAGTTTTGAGTCAGTTTCTATGAAATTAAGTAGTGATCACCGAAATACAGTTACTGAAGGGCAGCTACAACTTCCTGAACGTGGGTTTGGGTCACTTTGCTTTTCCCTCCAACACACTGAGGACACTGAAATTGAGCCTCCAAGTCTCATCAGAACTTTAGGACTCAGTAAATCTGTGGCTGGGCAGTCATCAGTGTACGTACTGCGTATTAAAAAGATGCCACGACAAATTAAAAAACAGAAGCAGCTTTCTCTCAGTTCTTACCAAAGTGTGGTGCGGCTCACCCACCTGCAGAGGAGTAACCGCACCGTCTGCCCCAGCCTCTGTCAGGAAGCCTCTGAGGCCACTGCCTAACTTCCTTGTGGTGCTGCTCCTCTCCTCACATAGCTTCTGGCTCCACCTCTAGGTCACAGTAAAGCCGTGAGAGACATCTGCTTCAACACTGCGGGGACACAGTTCCTCAGTGCGGCCTACGACAGGTACCTGAAACTCTGGGACACGGAGACAGGTGAGTGTGTCCTGCTCTCCCGAGCTGGCATTTCTGTGCAAAGAGTGGTCCCCTGGTGAAATGATGCCTTCTCCAAACGCTGCTTGACGTGATGAGCTGCTGCACACTCTCGAGGCTCGTACCAGGAATGCTGTCTGTTCTCAAAATACCCACTTGAGTGATGTCATCAGAACTCGTCTCTATAACTGATGGGATGATACATTGCTTTTGGAGAAAGTGTCAGTCTGTCTGTCTGTCTGTCTACTTTATTGCCTTGAAGTAGGGCTTCTCACTGAACTGAAAGCTTACAGTTTTGCCACACTGGCCAGCCAGCAAGCTCCCAGGATTCATGTGTCTCTACCCGCAGTGCTGGGTTTACAGACATGCTCAGCAGTGCCTGGCTAGAGATATGATGCTCCTCACACTTGCACAGAAAACATTCTTACCAACTGAGGCATCTCCTCAGCCCCTAAAACAAATATTTTTAATCATTTTAAAAATAAATCTATGAAAAGTACCAATGTAGTGGTTTTAAGAGTCAAGCTTCCCATCCTCAGAATCAGTAAGTAAGGGCTACTCACTAGGTCTTCGTGCCGCTGTCATCTTCTGGAAGTCAGACTTAACGTTTGTCTTTAATTTGACTCTTCGGTCTAGGACAGTGTATATCAAGATTTACAAACCGCAAAGTGCCCTATTGTGTCAAGTTCAATCCCGATGAAGATAAGCAAAATCTCTTTGTGGCCGGAATGTCTGATAAAAAGATCGTACAGGTAAGTCTTTTCTCAGCATGTCTGTCAGGGTGTGTGAGCTTTAGACTGTCTTGAGGAGAGAGCAGAACATTCGTTTGGTTGGTGTCTGCCACTCTGAGGGTCCACTCTTGTTGCACTTAGAAGGCAGCCGTCAGTTCATAAACATGGCGTGTGAGGAGTCCTTAGTGCTGAAGTGTATTTGGCTGCTTTCATGAGTCCTCTCACCTCTGTGTGTGCCTTCCCTCTTGCTGCACAGTGGGACATTCGCAGTGGAGAGATTGTTCAGGAGTACGATCGGCATTTGGGGGCTGTCAACACGATTGTCTTTGTTGATGAGAACCGAAGATTTGTCAGTACATCTGATGATAAAAGCCTCCGAGTTTGGGAATGGTGAGTTTTCATCAGAAGAAAACCTGACTTATGAGACAAGCAATTAAAAAATCATAGCCAAAGCTTGATAATATGCAGCAGTTTTCACATCTTCAGCCAAAGTGTTTTAATTATGTAAATACTGACAGTTTGGAAATTGAAATCTAAACATTTATAACTGTCCTTCACAGTCTCTAGAGAGTCTCCCAGAGGTACATGGATTTGAACTTGGTTTGTTGTTGTTGATGATGTTGTTGTTGTTGTTTGTGGTCATGATAATTGTCACACTGTCACATCTCACATTCTTTTTTTAATAAATTATAAATAATGTATGTGCATTGGTGTAAGGGTGTCAGATCCCCTAGGACTGGAGTCCAAGCAGTCGTGAGCTGCCACATGGGTGCTAGGGATTGAACCCGGGTCCTCTGGGAGAGCAGCCAGTGCTCTTAACCGAGTCATCTCAGTCCTGATTTAAGTTTTTATTATTTTCGTGTGTGTGTGTGTGTGTGTGTGTGTGTGTGTGTGTGTGTGTGTGTCTGAGAGAGAGAGAGGGGGGGAGGGCTTGGCTTGGCTCATGTTTTCCAGTGGTGAGTTCTAGAGGTCACACTCAGTCCTGAGGTTTGCAGGCAGCCCTTTTCCCCCACCGAGTCCCCTCGCTAGCCCCCTCTTCAATGATTTACTAATAATACCTTATTCATCTTTGCAAAATGGCAGGCAGGGTGTAGGATGCTTGGCTGTATTTGGTTATGTGAGAGTCACACATAGAGATCCTGGCCTCAGAACAAATCCAAGGAAAATAGCAACATAGTTAGTTAGGTTAGCGCTTTGTTCTCTTACGGTCTGCCGTGTAATCATCCCTGCTGTAAGCTGCCTCGTGCCGTCAGCTTTAAACAGTTTGCTTGTTGGATATAATCAGAATATATTGGCTTCTTTTTCCTTTTATCCAAAAAAAAAAAAAAAAAAAGTTGTTTTTCTAAAGTCAAAAAAATAAATCCTTAATCTGGTTTCATTAAGTATCTTGATATTTTATGATTTAGTTGCAAAGAAATAAATGTAATCTTTCTAATTAAAGTCAGTTCTTGGGTAGAGCTTGACTTTTATTTGTAGTCACAAAGAACAACTCAGTGGAGACCACAGCATTCCAGGACTAGAAAGTGCACCTTCCCCCCCACTCCTAGAAGTGACAGTTTAAACTGAGAAAGCAGGCAGCCTTGAACCTCAGCCAGTGGTTTCCTTCTCAGACTGACTCCCACAGACAGCAGGCCCTCAGTATTGTCAAGATAATTGAGGTCAATTCAGATTCAATGCAACTGGCAATTTCTACACCTCTCTACCCTTCCAGATTATCCCCAAGGACTCTGACTGGAGTAAACTTCATCCTTAAAAGTTCAGCGTCCAAAGCTTAGGTCTTTCTTCAGAAAAGGTACTTCTTAGGCCTAGTGATTTAGCTCAGTGGGAGAGTGCTGGCCACGAAGAAGGGTGGGGAGGAAGGGAAAAAATAGGAGAGGGGGAAAGGGAGAGAGAAAGAGAGGCTGTTTCTTACAGAGAATCTGATGTGGACACCGAGTGTCTTGCTTTGGATGGTTTGGTTTGGTTGGTTTGGTTGGTTTGGATGGTTTGGTTTGGTTTTGGTTTGGTTTGGTTTGGTTTGGTTTGGTTTGGTTTGGTTTGGTTTGGTTTGGTTTGGTTTGGGTTTGGTTTGGTTTGGTTTGGTTTGGTTTGCGTGTATGCACGTGGTGTATGTACACATGTGAGGGTGTGCACATGACCGTCCACATGGGTGCAAGGGCCAGACAAGGATGTCAGGGGTCTTCCTCTATCTCATAGGCATGCCTTGCTATTACATGGGTGCTGGGGATTTGAACTCAGGTCCTCACACTTGTACTGCAAGCACTCCTACCCTCTGAGCCATCTCCCCAGCCTGACAAGGGGTGTGTTCGTGTGTGATATGTTAGTGGTCAGATTTTACATTCAGATGTTTGTGTCTTGAGTTGCTGTTTCCATCATTGAAGGTAGGAGGTGTGAAAGGAAGTGGTTAATATTGAGAAGCTATACCAGTTAGAGGGTTTTCGAACACTTGTGTAGAGTTTAGTCAAGAAGATGCTCTGAGTATATTAAGGCAGCAGTGTTAGAGTCCTCCGTTCCCTCTCAGAAGTCAACACTGGTCTCGTCACCAGTGAAGATACAGTGTGGAGCTAGTGCTTCTATATGTCCGTCACTAAGTTAAATGTTTGATATGAACGCTCTGATCTAATGTGCAAAGCAATCTTATATGCAGTGGGCTCTTTCTTTTTTCATATGAGCAAACTAAAATCGTTAGAGTGATGTACCTAAGGTTATATAGGACATGAAATGGTCAGAATTTAAAGTGCAGTTCAGACTGATTGCAGAGCGTTTTGTGTGGATGGTAAATGCGGACACATGTAGGCAGAGAAGGTAACTTGGATCTGCTCAGTGGAGAGCAAACCAGCTCAGGACCTCAGATCTCTCCACTTCTCCTGAGAATAATTACTGGTGATTCTGGAAGGAGGAGGAAGCCCTAAGCCCAGAGCAGACTGAGTCCAAGGACAGGAAGTTCCCCAGCACTGGGACTTTATGTAAGAGGAGGTTTTCCAAACTCATGTGTCCCATGACAGAGAACCAAACGTTCGGTGGTTAAGAGCACCAGGGCCCAGATTCAGTTCCCAGCACCCACATGGCAGCTCAGAGCGCTCTATGTAACTCCAGTTCCAGGGATCTGACGCCTTACCAAGTCACCAAACACACACACAGCGCACAGACAAGATACCCACACACAGTAAAGCAAACGACCGAGGGAAGCTGGGCTTCTGTAACAGTGCTGTACAAGCACAGCTCTAGTCACCGAGGAGGGTTGGAAGTCAGGATAGAAGCCGCAGGCGCCCTGCGAGTCAGCTGGAAGCATGTCGGTAGCCATGGGGCCTTCATTCTGAAGGTTTTATTTTTGTCTTTTAACCAAAGGTATTTATTTTGGTAAAATACTTTCAAAGGAATTTTACAGAAACTGGTTAAGATTGCTGTGTATCTTTTATTTTTATAATGCCACAGGCTTGTTAGCTTTTGATAAGTTCATTTCCAAACCAGATTATCTGAAATCAGTTCCAACCCGGCTATATTGAATTCCAAGATCTAAGCAGAAAAATGATGTTGTTTTTATGAAGTTCAACTATACCTAGCAGGCATTTTTGCTGGAAATAATGAAGCTCTAAGGGCGGCCCAGATTCAGTTCTTGTTCTAGGGCAGTGGCTCTCAGCCTTCCTCATGCTGGGACCCTTTAAAACAGTTCCTCGTGTTGTGGGGACCCCCAACCATAAAATCATTTTTATTGCCACTTCATAACTGTAACTTTGCTACTGTTGTTAACCATAATGTAAATATTTGACATGCTACCCCTGAGAAAGGGCCGTTTGACCCCAAAGGGGTCTTGACCCACAGGTAGAGAACTGCTGTTCCAGTCTGGTACCAAGACTTGTTAAAACAGAGCCCTGGAACGGTTCTGCTAGGTTTACTACAGATGTGAACCTAAAATAGGGTGATTCATTTAGAAAGCGCTCGTGCTTCAATCCATGTTATAAAATTCACTCTTATTACTGATAAATCCAAGGGGGAACATGAATCCTTTTTAAAAGGTGAGGCTCCTACACTTGGGTCATTCAGAAAGACCGTTTTCACCTTGCTCAGTGGGTCCTGGGAGCTGATGAACTGTCACTTCCCTGGTTACAGCAGAAGTCTCTGTCTTCTGGGCAGTTGTTTCTTCTGTCACTTCCCTGGTTACACAGCAGAAGTCTCTTCCTTCTGGGCAGTTGTTTCTTCTGGATGTTGGACAAATGAATAGAGAAATCCACAAGAGAAGCGAGCTACGATTATTTTCCAATTAAGCAAAGCATTGAAACTCAAATCCTACCTTTAAGTGGAAATAGCTCTTCGCCCATGGTGTTCATCAGATTACACTTCCCACACATTACCCCAGCAAACGTTGTTGGTCCCCCAGGAAGCAACAATGCCAAAACTCCTTCAGAATTACCAAGTATCTTTTATTATAAAAAAGAATGAAAACAAAAAGGTACCTAGTACATTTGGTTCTCAGCTGAGGTGAAGATTTTTGAATTTTGTTTTATGTTCAGGCATTTTTATCATGAAGTTTTTGCTGTTTTGTATTTCTCATTTTGTCCTGTACTATGTACCTTGAAAATGCTTTTCTTGTCAACTGTAAATAGGCGTGGTACCGAGCATTGAATCAAGAACTTACTCTGCAGCCTGGGTCATTGTTTCCGGGCAGCTAAAACTAGCAAGCGCACACTCCTGCACCTCTGCCTGTGTCATCTCACTCACGCAGAGAGGGAGGGCATTTTAACACTCCCACGTGCTCATGGGGTGATGTGTAAGGTTGACAGGCAGGTAAATAACATTCCTCAGAGGCTTGCTCAAGCACCTTGCTTCTGCCAACCATTTTAGGATGAGTTCATCATTCATGAACATTTAGGAATATAAGGGCCAGAGTTTAAGTCTAATAGTTAGGAAGCAGAACCACCGACACTATTAGAATCTTCATGGAAAGGCGTTTGTAAAATACAAACTTTCTAGTAATAAAACTCCATCCTGGAAGCTTAATGAAAAGGCAAGTTGCTTTTATTTGGGTACATTTGGGTAATTCTTCCGAATGTGCTTTTGTGAATTACTGGTTCTAATATGTATGCTGTTTTCAATTTTTAGGGATATCCCTGTGGATTTTAAGTACATAGCAGAGCCCAGCATGCACTCAATGCCTGCAGTGACTTTGTCTCCAAATGGTGAGTTGGTGCATAGAACTTGTTTCAAATGAGCGCCTAAGACACAAAGTGCTGGAGCACAGGAGCGGAGCCCTGCCTCCAGGGAGGCCTGTGTTGCCTCCTCGAGTAGGGAAACCTTTGCAGAATGAGGAGTGATTACTGGTTTTCATGTGTGAATTACTCCGCCCACTCTCTTGTTTTGAAAAAATAAAAGAATCAGTGATTTATAGTTAGCATTAAGAATTTCTTACAGTTGTTTTTGTTTCTTAGTTTTAATAATTTTCCTTCAAACACAAATCAGTTCAGTAAAACATTTAATAAGTGCTTTTCTTCCAAGGGAATAGAAAATTTTGGTCTGATTCTTCAAAATGAGAACATTTTAGCAATTTACATGTAAAAGATCTTTTAATGAAGCTTTACACCCCTATTGGACACTGAGAAGGTAGTTCCAATGCACGGTTTCTTTAGATTTTTGCATGGTAACAGGGTTAGGTCACTACAGTGTAGAGCATGGTGATGAACCCCCATCCTCCTTACACTGTGTGGACCAACATGCCCAGATACAATGTGAGACACTCCTCCGGCCCAGACGGTTTGGCTGAGCTGGTAAGGGCCCTTGCATCTGGAGTCCCGTCTCCTTCATGGCAAGTTTCTGTCTTTCTCTGAGTGCCAAGGGTCATGCTTGATGCAGCCCACTCATTGCGTGGATTCTCTGGAGCTATCATGTGGGTGCTGAGAAATGAACCCTGGTCCTCTGGAAGAGCATCCAGTGCTCTTAACCAGTGCTTGAGCCACCTCTCCAACCCTAATGGTATATTCTTGTTGATGGCAGAGGCCCTTCTCTCCCCGCTTCTCTCTGGGAGCCATTTTGCAGGGCCCAAGTTGAAAAGAAGGGGTGCAGAGAATTGTGAGGGAGAATTACATCTCCAAAAGATTTCCTTCAGCAAAACAAAACAAAAAATTAACAGTCTTGTATTTGATAACCCTCGTAAGTAATAGGCAATTGTGCTACAGGCACACCAATACAATCAGTCTCTCATGAGGGTGCAAAGTGAATATTTTCAGAGGTGTTCTGAGGGTAGAAGAGGCAAGGGAGAATCCTCTTCTCCATCTGCCTTTGTGTGGCAGCTCAGTGGCAGTTGGAGGAACCCTGTCATCCTTAGAAAAGCAGCGAGTAGGTACAGTAGGTACCATTGTGACAGTCACCATAGTATACCCTTTGTCATCAGGCTTCAAGACTTGATGCTGGATTTTAACCCTCTCCTCACTTAGACAGCATTGCCTGGGTCATTTCTACCACTAGAGCAGATAGGAATAAATGCTGTATGCTGGCCTGGGGGCTTTGCTAACTCCTGGGTAGATAAAAAGCAGTGTGCTTTTTAAGAAACAGTTGATATGGTCTTGCTAATCCTCATTTCTAGTGCAGTTTTATTTAATAACCCGTGGTTTATCGTGAAGCTAGTCTTCAGTAGGTGCCACAGATCTGTTCTGTTCTGCAGCCCTATTGTCTGAATTTATTATAAACTAATTGCACTTAGCATGTTTTATCAATAACTTATTTATATTGACACTAGGCCTGGAAGTTGTTTCCTTATTTTTAAAAACTGTAAAGCTCTGCTCTGAAGAGTACTCGAAGACGATAGGGTGACAGCAGCAGAGTCAGTCACGTTAGATAAAGAATCCCTCTTGCCAGTGGCTGATCTAGAACACTCTACAGATGCCACAGGAACTTGCTTTTCTGATCTTACAAAGTATTTTGGAACAAAAGTGTAATGAAAGCTAATATTTTTTAAATAAACTTTTTTTAAAATGTTTAAATCCTCCTCTAAAATATGCCGCTTTTGCATTTTACAGGGAAATGGCTAGCATGCCAGTCGATGGATAACCAAATCTTAATTTTTGGAGCACAGAACAGATTCAGATTAAATAAGAAGAAAATTTTTAAGGGCCACATGGTAGCAGGCTATGCTTGTCAGGTAGACTTCTCACCAGACATGAGGTAAGTTTAAGTCTTTATATTCACATCTGATGTAGCTGTGTAGAGTACTTCACAAATCACTATGACTTGTGTAATTGCATGAGAACTGTGTAATCTTTGAAAATGGCAGACATAAAGGCAAGAATGAGTTGTAAAAATGAAATGGGCTTTTCTGTGCTGTCTTCCTCAGTGTGCTTTCTGACGTTGCCTAGGCCGTGCCCTTTAGCCATCTAGTAACCCCTGTCCCCATCACCCTGACGTCACTGTCTCTGCTCTCCATCGAGGGGTTGAGTAGATACCGGGAGAGCTCTGCACCTCTGTTGAGCAGAGCCCCATACCCCACCTACACAACTGTCCACTCTGGGAACAGGAATGCAGCTTTCGGATATTTCCAGGTCACAGTTAGTTACGTTTCTGTTCACTTCCCAACTCTTAGTTAAAAATATATAGGTGCAAAGAATTCAGATAGGCTGTGGCTTTTTATATTTAGCGAGGTAATTAGGCCTCAGCTTCCCAGTTCTGATTCAGTCTTTGAACCAGAGCATATCGAAGCCAAAGATGTTAAAAGTTCATTGCTGTACCGTGCACCTGACATGATCACCGGCTGCATGTGAGGCTGGAGATGTGTACCTGCAGACCGCTTCATGCATGTATTCTTCTGAGTACCTTACAGTCACGTTTCTCGTGGTAAAGGGGGCTGTTTCTCGTTCATTTCACCAGTTTAAGGTGTATGAATAACCAGGATTTGTCTCATTCTGTTACAGCTATGTGATTTCAGGAGATGGAAATGGGAAATTAAACATTTGGGACTGGAAGACCACAAAACTCTACAGTCGCTTTAAAGCCCATGACAAAGTGTGCATAGGCGCAGTGTGGCACCCCCATGAGACATCCAAGGTCATCACGTGTGGCTGGGATGGCCTCGTCAAGTTGTGGGATTGATGGGATTAGTCCTTTCACTGTCTGGGATCATTTTTGATCCAGTGTCATATTTAACTATTTAATTATTAAAATGTGTTGGATGACAGTTTGATTTATAGGTAATCTTTTCTTATATGGCCTTATGAAGTTGGCCTATTGTTTTTAAGAGCTTTGTAAATTTGCCTCAGATAAGTTCAATAGCAACTTCATTGTTCTTTATAGATGTTATTTATATGGAAAATGACAACTGATTATATTTGACAAGTAGTTACTGTTGGCAGGCAGTTGCGTTTTTCCCTGTGATGTCACTAAAAGGATCATTTTGGAGTCAAGAAAAAGATGCCTATTGGGAATGGGATCCCGTGGGAGATGATGTAGCTAATGACTCAGAAGGTACCAGACACTTAGCAACCCGTCCACCAGGTTGGCGGGAACAAAGGCAAAACCACCTACAGTCCCAGTCACTGAATCAAGTTCTCCTCTTCTTCAAGTTCCAGTATTGTTTACGGCCTGTGTTGTCTATTTTTACTTGTAAATTAGTGACCTTCATTGGCTGCAGCTTTCCTCTAACTATTAAGCAATATAAAATTAAAAGGCAGTCTGCAGTTCCTTTCTTGACTCTCTTCCTGATCACCAGAGACGGGACTGTGTAGGAAGTGAGGTTGTCTCTGACGCTGGAACTGAGGGAACAAGCCCGGCTTTGGATGTTACTCGCAATCACTGTGTGGAAGGCGCTGGCTGCACTCTTCAGAAACCAGGGTCTCAGGCTCCGCTTCACCGCTGGGGTGAATGATGACATGCTCCCTCTGGCCAGAGTGAAGGCAGAGTCCAGAATACCATTGTAATGTCTTTGAAGTCACAGTTTGTCCTTAAAATCACTCTGGTTTTACTTGTGAATATAAACAGTAAAACTTTTGAATGTTAGAAAAAATGAAATTTCTTTTCAGATCTTTGAAAAACCTTTGACACTATAAGAAAATGCCTGGAGCCCCCAGTTTGAAAGGCCGTAACCGCAGGGTTTTCTCTTTTTAAATCACATGCTCAACATAGCACTGCCTAGCCATTGCCAGTTCTGCAACTTCCAGGAAGGGCAGCATATCGGAGGGAAGAATTCGTACAAAACCTTTCTGTCGTCCCAACCATATCTTAACAAATGTGAATTACCGGCGTGTAGTAAGAGAAAGACTTCAACAACAGTATTGCATGTTAATGAATCATCATTTTGAAATCCCAATTTCTCTTACTGTGTTTTTGACTGTTTCTAAACAGAGTAACTGTACATAAAAGTTTTCTCTTTTTTGAAAAGATCCTATTTTTGAATAAAGCATTCTTTTTATAGAAAGTGTTTCTGAAATGTCCACTGTGTCCTTTTGTCTTAAGTCTGTGAAGACACCAACACACCACCTTCAGACTTAAATGGGTCACATAAGAAGAAATGCTGCTGAGAGGTGAGGGCGTTCAGCACGTTAATGGTTTATTTTGACCACAAGTCAGCATCCAAGAAGCGTTTGGGGTGTGCGGGCAGGTGGGGTTAGAGCATACAGACAGGCAGTTCCATCCCAGCATAGAACCCCGAAGGCACGCTGTTCTTCCTCCTCACCACTGCGAGCTCTTGTCACACCGAGGACAGTTCTTCCCAAAAACTTAGGTTTGTTGAGAGCTGATGTAAAAATTTCAGCTGACTTCATATTTAAACACTGAAGCAGAGCTGGGCTGTTTTCCCCATAAGCAAGAAACCAAGTTTAAGACAAAGAACATGGAGGAGGGTCACACAAGCTCTTTCTGAGGAGAAACAGTGTATGTTCTGTGTGTTTTGAGACAGTCTCATTTAGAATTGATTCTCCTGCCTCTACCTCCTAAATGCTGGAATTACAGGCACGGACCAGCCACATCCGGCAGGAACTGGCTCTTGAAAACCACATTATGGGGCTGGCCTCTAACTTCAAATGCTTAGTAAGTGCCTAGAAAAGAGTACCGGCAGTGAAACATCAACCTTTGAGTGGCAGCCATGAAGACCCTAATACCGGCAACAATTGCAGAAGCACCTTGAAGCTCAGCTGACTGAACTGTTGATGAACACATTTTGATTGTGTTGTTTGCTGTGATACAGGATGCAGGAAAAAGAAAAAGAAACAAAAACAGCAGATAGTTGAGGGAGCCGCAGTGTGTTCTGGTGCCAGGAAGGGATGTAAAATACCACCCAGACCTTAAATGTGACGTCAGCCTGAGACCTGGGGAACACAGCTGCCATATTTCATCTGATGTAGAATGTTCACATTTTAATGTCGAGGATAAGGCTCTAATAGAAAGCTGTGCTGTCCCATAGATTCACTGGCAGCATCCATTCTTAGTGAGTCATTAAACGGTTGATGTAATAGAGTACAGAGAAAGCCAAGTACAAAGAAGCCAGGGAAGAGAGGAGCTAGAGGGAGGAAGGTGCCTGTCACAAGCATTGGATCGAAACCCACATCGTGAGGTACGTGGTCAGTGAGTAAACAAACAGAATGAGCTCACAAAGATTCATTTAAAGTAAAAAGTCTAAGACTGTCCACACCCTCTTCCATTGCAGTCCCTGAGCCATGCAGGGCAGGTGTCATCCGATGTCTTATCTGTGGCCGAGCGCTCACTGACGCTCTATACATTGGCCATTTGTGAGTTTCTGCAGTAACCACGTTTTATTGCACAAAGACACTTCTCGTATGAGGTCTGAAGGCTGCACTGTTTTATGAGTATAGAGATAAAGTTTAGAAAGCAGTTTTGTATTCTGTCCATTCAGCAAAATAATAGCGGTAGATTAATTCCTGACGCTTATGAATTCCCCACCCATGAGTTCTTGGCAAGATTTACAACACTAAACATTTCTTTTTCTCCTGTGGAGCAGCTCTTAAATCCAAGCAGGATTGGATGGTCACCCCTACAGCACTAGCACCACTATTGCACGTTGGTTGTTTTCGTGGTTTGTGGAGGTTACAGCTGAGTAAGGCCGTTGATGATGTTCCCCCAGCAAGCTACCTATCACCTTACCTTACTATGAAAGCCAATCCCTGTCAGTACCATCTTCAAGTCTCTGCGTCCTATGACCGAAATGTGTGGTGTTTTCAGCAATGGGGTCTTACCATCAAGTTCTGTTGGCCAACCAAGAACAATGAAGATAGCCTGTATTGCTTTCGGAGGCTCTAGGACACCCCTGGCCAACAAATCAAAGAGGTGTTTTAGCCAGCTTTCTCTAGAGCAGTGGTTCTTAACCTTCCTAATGCTGTGACCCCTCAATACAGTTCCTCATATTGTGGTGACCCAGCCATAAAATTATCTTTGTTACTGTTTCATGTTGTAGTAATTATTTAAAATAGGCCTCTGGTCAAGCCGACTAAGCTATGTTGGCTCTGCCTAGCACAGCCGCCATGTTCTGTGGCCAGAGGCCACGTGTGTGCCACAGCTAGAAATGGCCAGAAAGAAACACCAGCCCTGCCACCCACGAGACTCCAACATGGGAGACAGCTCTGCCAATCTTCCATGCTGTCTCTGCAAGACTGGACATTGCTCAGACCATCCCGCCATCCATGCGGGCCCAGTAGAAAGATGAGACTCTAATGCTTAAAGATTAATCAAAGGCTTATATATTTGGTAATGATCAATAACAAGACACCTATACAATCAGAAGTGTAACCCGATACCCAGCCTAGATATACCAACTACCTTTGACCTACAGACGTGTGAACATCTGCCTCCTCTCTCTCTTTCTCTCTCTCCTCCTAGCTTCTCCTCCTCTTCCTCCTCTCCTTATTCCTCCTCTTCCTTTCCTAACTCCTCCCACATTAGCTCCTCCTACAACTTCATAACTAATTCTGTGACCCCCTCAATACAGTTCCTCATATTGTGGTGACCCGACCATAAAATTATCTTTGTTACTGCTTCATGTTGTAGTAACTATTATGTAATTAGCACTGTTATGAATCATCATGTAAATATCTGTGTTTTCCAGGGGTGCTGGGCAAACCCTGTAAAAGGGTCATTCAACCCCCAAAAGACGTCACACCCCACTGACTGAGAACCACTGCTCTAGAGGCACAGAATCAATAGAACAAAGGTATGTGTTAAAAGACTTTAAGTCAGCTTACTTTGAAATCCTAACAACAACTGAGTCACATCCTGGAAACTGAGAACTGTGTAGTTGCTTGGTCTTTGAGGTTGGGTAACTCAGTAATCCAAAGCTCAACTAGAACCTAAAGGGTTTCCGGGGAGACGCTGGTCCCCAGCAACCCAGGGAAGCCAGGCAGCAGTCATAGCACAGCAGCATACAAGATAAACTCACTTGGCAGTAAGAGTCACATACTGCCCCATTGCTAATCCCCTGTGTATCTGGGCTGCTATTAGAAGGTGCTGCCTACATTTGGGGTGAGGAATGTCTTAATTAAGACATTCTCAATTTCCCAGGCTCCCTATACAGGTTGTTCTAAGTTTCCCAGCATCCTTAGAGTCAGTTACCCCTTTTCCCACCTTCTCTCTGCCCTGCTTACTCACCCCTCTGAACTTAACCTTCCTTCTACATTACTTCCTCTTTACCTCACCCGTGTTCTCTCTTGCCTCCCCCCCCGCCACCCCCCCTCACCTCAGCCTCCCTTCAGATCTCTCCCCCCTTCTTACCAGTGGTCTCTTTCTACTTACCTGGGTTCTATAGGTATTCCAAGTTAGCACAAATCTGAAAATTCAGCACTATATAGTAGCGTGTGAGTGCGACCCTGTGACGCTAACCCTTCTGGGTCTGGGTTATTTCACTTGGCTTGTTTTCCAACTCCACCTATTTACCTTCAAATTTCATAATTAAATTTCATTTTTTTCCTTAAAGCTGAATAGAATTCTATTGTTTGCAGGAAGCACAATTTCATTCATCAGCTGAACTGGGCAATTAGGCTGTTCCCGTGTCCTAGCATCTGTGACTCAGTGCTGAACATGGGTGTCCATGTGTCAATCAGCCACTTTTTAAGAGCACAGTAACAACTGCATCTGCACAGTAGGGTCCTAGGACCATTTTTTTTAACATAAGAAGAGTTCAGGTATACAGTGTTACTGCCTCATCTTCTCAAAGATGTTCTAAAGTCCAAATCGCTCGTAACAGAGTTCATGTAACGATTCTGATGTTCATGCTGTCCTGCCCTGTGTTACATTTGGGGTATTTCCTAAGACCTGTGTCCAGATAACTTTAAATTCTCTTCAGTGTGTCTAATCTTTTTAATCCATTGCTTCTCAATTCAGCCACTGCTTTCCTCTTCTGGGTGGACGATTTGATCTTGTATATATGTCTGGGGTTTTTTCCCCCCGTAGACTAGTTTTCTTAAGTTTTATGTAATCTTTTATGACTTAAATCATGAACAGTTTATATTAATTTTTTAAGATTTGTTTTTATTTATGTGTTTGTGTGCATGCTGTAAGAATGCAACATGTGTTCAGGTAGCTGTGATCTCCCCTATGTGTGTGCATGTTTGCATGCATGTATACAGGTATTGTGATCTCCCCTATGTGTGCATGTTTGCATGCATGTGTACAGGTAGCTGTGATCTCCTATGTGTGTGCATGCTTGTATGCATGCACGTATACAGGTAGCTGTGATCTACACTATGTGGATACTTTGAATTGAACTCAGGTTCTCTGGAAGAGCAGCAAATACTCTTCCCTGGGGAGCCATCTCTCCAGCCCCTATGCTACATTCATTAAAATGTTACAGAAGGATTGGAATCTATGCTCACCCTCAGCTACAGTTTAAGGACAGCCAGGGATAGATGACACCTTGTCCCATCTCTCTGCACTGTTCCCTCCAACAAGGAGTGCATGCAGTTATCTCAGGTACCAAGGCTAAAGTTCCCAGTGTGTGCATGAGTGTGCATGTGTGTGTGTGCATGCGTGTGTGTGTGTGTGTGTGTGTGCATGCATGCATGTGTGCGTGCGTGTGTGTTTGGCTCTGCTTCATGGTACTCCACTTATTTCCTTATCAGATGTAACTCTTTATTATGAATGAGTCTTCTTCTCTGAGGAAATTCTTAGTGGCCTGGATTGAAGAGTCCCTTCAAAGCATTTTGCATCCAATTTTGCGGTGTCCTCCGGAGGGTGTCACCCCGAGAACCAAGTAGTTAGCATAACCCCTCAGCTTACTGTTTTGCTCGTTTGTGATTAAAATAAATTCCACTACTGCAGTCCTTGCACAAGCTTGAGGCTTATTTCTTGTGAGAAGCTTCTGCTTGCCCTCAGCCCCAGCACAAAGTAAGCTTCCTGGTGCTGATGGGTGTGAAGTTGTGTGACTATGTTTTCCATAAAGTCGTGCCCTTCAAGAATCCAGTCTTTCACCTTCAGGCTCATCTCTACT